AGGAAGAGGCTGGGACCCTGGCAGAGCGCTGCCCTCCTCCAAGTGGTCAGTCTTCAGGGCTTCTGCCGGGGAGCACAAGGCCCAGGGACCTGGGGTTCCGACCAGATCGGGGTTGGGGGAGGGCCCCGCACTGGCAAGGCCTGGATGGTGAATAAAGAAATGTCAGGGGGCCACCTAGGAGCACCCTGCCCCATTTCAGCCTCATCCCCTCCTGGACCTGAGTCAGGGTCACTTTCCTGGAATGGGTGGAGCAGAGCAGGTAACAGGAGCTGTGAGTCCCAAAAGAAGCTCAAGGTCAGGGCCGGAGGGATGGGCCCCTGCAGAGATGCCTCTAGCCCTGCTCTCCCGCTCTCCTGCTCCCCAGGGGACTCTGCAGTCCCTGCTCCGAGGTACCTGTCCCTCCCAGGGGCACCCCAGGTTTGTCGTGACTGGAACCATACCAGGCGGGAGGGGCTGGAGGCTGAGAGTCTGAAGTGCTGGGCCTTGGAGACGGACGACCAGAGGTCCAGGCTCTTGGGGGCTGAGCTCCTCTCGGACTTTGGGGGAAGAATGTCCCAGCCCAGCAGGCAGTGCTGTGGAGAGAAAGGGGCTAGCAGCCTGGGGCAGGTCCCCCTAAGGACCAAGGAGGGTCTGTGAGCCATCAGGATGGAAGTAACCCCGGATCAGTTGCAGCCTCTCCCCCAGACTGAGGCTCCCCCAGGTGAGGCCTGTGTCTGCCCATTAGATTACCCTGCAGCCCTCTATCCTTGGCCCGAGAGCAGAGATGGGGGAGAGCAGGACAACGGCATTAATGGAGCTTCCTGTGTGTGCACTACTTCCCTGCCCGCCTCGCCCCTGCAGCCCTGGCCTCGGTACCCTTCCACCTGTCTCACACAGCGGCAAACTGCCTTTCCTCTCTCTCACTTCTCCCATCACCCAGCTGCGGTGAGTGGCTCACCACTGCCTCCCATCCTACCCAGGGACATGGAAAAGGACATCTGTAAGGCACTACAGACGCATGTACACCTGGGTTCACGCCCTGTCCTTCCACTGAGGCAGCTCCCCCTGCCTCGGTCTGCTCATCCGTACAGCAGGGCAGCAGCGGGGTTGCAGTGTGGGTGCTACGGGGCAGGAGACCCTCCTGGTGATGGTGCACCTGGCACATAGAGCCCAGTAAATGGCCAGTGCATGGGGAGCAGACCCTGGAGGCCGAATGCCAGGTAAGGGGGCACGCCACCTCCCTCCGTGAGCAAGCACAGTCCAGGTGATGAAGAGGTCCAGCCTACTCTCTAGAGACCAGGGTGCTGGACCTCAGGTCAGCCTTGCTCCAAGCGCCCCCAGCCCTTGGGATCCACCTGGGCCCTGGACAGGCTGGGGGTTGCTCACCCGAGGTAGGGCCAGAGTGTCAGAGGCGTCAAAGCTCTTCCGCCGGTGGACACGGTACCGGTGAGGGGGGTCCAGGATGGACAGTGGGATGCTCACCCTGCACAGGGATGCAGTAGGCTACCACTGAGGTCTCTCCCAGCTACTGGCCACAATTGTAGGCCCACTGTAGCCCCCTCTAAAGTGGTAGATGCAGTATCTGCCCCTCAGGTATCCACTGCACTGGCCACTCACCTGACCTGGGCTGGCTCCTTCAGGGTCTTGGGGCCCTGCTGGTCCCTTGATGTCCTGCACAGGCGACAGGGAGTGCCAGGATCCACAGGGACCAGAAACAGGCGCCGGTTGACACGGTAACAGTACACACCTACCAGGCCATGAAGTGGCAATTCCCTGAACCTGGGCCACTGCTGCCCCCTCCTCCCAACACCTTCCCTCTCAGGGTCTGGGGCCCAGGTCCACAGGGGTGAGGATGAGAGAAATGTCTACCCAGGGCTCTCAGGAGCTGGGATGGAGCCCAGCCAGCTCGGAAGGTTACTGGGAAGGGTGGGACAAGGCTGGCCCCAACCTGTGCAGGCCCGAGGCCCCCTCTCCGAGTCCCCAACACCTCAGTTGCCTCCCCAGAAGCAGCTACGTGCGAGCCTGGAGCGGGGCAGAGCAGGACCGGGCCATCACACTCACATTCGTGGTCGTCCTCCACAACAGTGCCCTCATGCAGGCCTAGCAACTGGGACCTGTGAGGGCGAGACGGGCTGAGCAGATGGACCATGGAGTCCCTCAGGCGCCCTGCCCAGCCAGGCCCGCTCCTGCTCACCGGGGGCGGCTGTAAACACACTCCTCCTCGTTGGACTCCCGGAATTTCTGCAGCTTTGAGAAGAAGGCATCAGGCTTGCTGCTCACAGGGGAGGTGTTATCCAGGGACCCTGGGTGAAAAATATCTGAGCTGACGGAAGACAGCCAGGGGCTGCCATCTGGCCCCTCATCACAGCCTGGTATGGCAGTGCATCTGTGTCAGCAGTGCGCCTCAT